GGAAAAACATAAAAGTCAACATTCAAAAGATTCAGATGTTTATTCACATTTGTCTATGCAAGATATTACTGATCCGTTGGGCAGAAATGTTCAGTAACAATCTACTATGACAAAGCGTCAATCATTTTCTGAATGAGGAAGAAATTAGGGAAAAAGTGGTGTAGGTTTAAAGCACCCAACGGCCTCACAAGACAATCCCTGACTTGGAGTCCTGAAAGCCTAAGGAAAAGAGGTAGATAAAGGAACACATTGCGTCGAGAATTCAAAGCAGACATCAGAAGGATTAATACTAATTGTATAGAACTGGTACATAGAGCCTAGGTCACAGTGGGTTGGGGAATGCTGTTCGGTGGCCTATACTCCACTAGGGGTAACATGAATAAAGATGTGAGTATTCTGACAATTTTATTTTTACGGATAAACGTATTCAAATGAACATTTTATAGCAAGTGATCCCATTGTGAATGATTTTTTATTACAAACAATCTTAAATTCACATGGTATGATTCTAAACGGTGTCGTTTTGAAAAAGTGTATTTCTTCATTCATATATAATACACATGTTTACATTAATATGATGAGAATTTTCCAGAGATTAAAAGTGTTTAATTTAAAAATAAATGATATATTACATCAAGGGAATCGAAAATAATAACACTTTGTTTAGAGTTGATTTGAAAATTCACTTATGTATATGTACATTGACATATTCATAGATAAAATAAATCACGGTGACATTGAACCAATATAGAATTTGTTACATTTTATTGTAACATGTCAAATTCATTTATCTTACAGAATTGATATCAAAGATTTTTTGAATGTACATGTAGTGAATTATATGAATACACTGGACATTTCTGTAATTTGATTTTACCGCCGTTGATAGAAGACCAAAACAAAAAACAGGAGCGAAATACAAAATGCGACCTTGAAACACACACACTATTTTTTTACGTTGCACTTATGTTATTGTTTTGAGATTATTCACTTACATAAAACTTTTAGGCTTATTGGTACCGTCAAATAAGGCACATAAATACATTGAATGTCACAAGTTAAAGGAAACTTTAGTTTCATCAAGAATGATAAATATACGTTCATAATGAAACAAATCGGTAGAGAGGTTAAGTGTTCGCACGCAAGAACGATGATCCTAGATTTGAATCCTGTGAGCTGTATAAGTCGCTGATGCGCTCTGTTGATGAGTCCCATACCAGGAAGAAACAGCCATCTAGTACTCTCGGATTTCCAACGGTGGTCTAACAATGGTTGATTCGTGATTTCAGTAATAAAATGCTCATACTTATTATATGTGCAACATACAATCGCGAAAATATCGATAGGTAAACAGAAAAATAATCCCGATAAAAAATTCAACATTTTTACACAATATTAGAAATTATATTAATTTATATAAATAAGAATGTTTGTCAAGAATTAAACGAATGGTGTAATTTAAAACAATTAGTATCTCTTATCAAGGTTGATAGGACGATGAGAAGACGTAGATGATCTACAAAAATGTTGTGATCTATTTTCGCTAAACACTTCAAAAATTCTGTTCACGTATATTATAAATTTGTCAAGACATCTTTAATACGGAAATTAATAAAAGGTCAACTAAATCAAGTGATAATTGTCATATTATCCTTAGAAAATGAAATGGCTTAAAGATTGTCAGGGTAAGTTCAAGCGTAAGACAATTTGTTTATGTACGGTTTGAATTTACAAATAGCCTAGGCTTGCATAAACCTAAGAATTCATCCTTGACCATTTCCGTGCAGCTTAATGTTACTTGGAGAGCAGAATATACATGGTTGCATATTTCTATGATTTAAACTTTGTATTAATATCCTGGGTCCGAATCCTACAAGTCGCGGGTTCGCGCTGTTTTAATGAGTCCCATACCAGGAAGAACGGCCGTGCAGTACTTCCAAGTTTCTTATGATGGTATAATATTGGTAGATGCATGATTTTAAAAAGTAACTCAACAATATCCACAAGCCTATCTCAAGCAAATCGAATTCAGATGTGTTTTTTTTACAAATACTTTCGATTAGTGTATTTATATAAGTTATTAGTATAAATATGATCCTGTAGAATTTTGATATATTCTATAAATATATAAGCAACAAACGCATTGGTAAATGGACACCTTTTGGTAGTTAGATGCATGTATTAAGTGATGAAGTGAATGATGTACTTTAAATTGATAATGTTATTTTCAATGTATATAGGAAAGTTAATTGGAACTAAAATGAAATTTATACGAATATCTCATTTAGTTAGTTATTAACTTACAAAATCGGATATATTACGACTGGATTTATGTGATAAAAGTGCAAAATATGTGTGAGGTTGCTGCAAAGTATAAAATGTATTCATTTAAACCTTGTGAACTGACTACATCATGACACTGTGGATCATTGATAAATGTTCTGATGAATAGAGATCATCACTCTACTTTGATTTTCTTGACAATCAAATGGTGTTTGACAGTACCGATAGGAGAATATTATGAGACCAACTTCTATATTATGTCATAATTGAAAAGATCATCACCGCCATACGAAACTCTTACAATGGTCTATGTTCCAAAGTGATTCTTCCACGGTGACTCACAGATGAATTCCAAGTGAATATTGTCGTCGAATTAGGCTACTTGCTCTCGTCATTTCTCTTTCTTATGGTGTGTGGCTGAATTATTTAAACCTCTACAAAGAACAGCTTGGATACTGTTAGACTATATGGACTTCGCAAGTTCACCTAGATCTTCTCTCTGATACGCAGTAACAAATGCAGGTGGGGACAGTTAGTGTGGCAGTTGGCCACAACATACATAAAGGAAAAAGCACGATACTGAAATATAGTTCAGCGAACACTAAACATTCTTATTTGATGAAGAGTCTCTGGAGAAGTTACGAACTTCCACACATCAAGGCAGAATCGTTTATTTACAAGGGAGAACTAATACAGATTAAAAAGCACGGATTGGGGAGAATTTTTACATTTGAAGAGCATATCAAAACTCAGAACAACTGCCCATCAACGCCAAAGTCAGAACTTTCAATACTAACATCAAAACGGTTTCATTGTATGGAACTGAAACTTCAAGAGTTATGAAATCCATCGTTCAAAAGGTATAAGTATATATAAACAGTTGTCCAAAGTAGATACTCTGGATCCAATGGCCAAACACCATCAGCAACAACCAGCTGTAGCAAGCAACAAACTAACTTTCACCTGAAGAGAAAATTGGGAAAAAAACAATGAAGGAGGATAGGATACCCATTGCGGCAATCACCAAACTGCAGCACAAGCAAACCTGAATTCGAAAGACCATAGAATACATTCAGACAGGAATCGGAGATAAATATGTGCATTACTAAATACGTATCATCTTAAATAACACTTAGAAACAGCTGAAAATGAGAGTGCAGGACAAAGCCGATTGGAGATTTCAGGTCTATGGCTAATCCTCAACAAGGAGGAAACAAGCTAACAAAATTAAGCACAAGCAGTAAGCAGGTGTAAAAATTTTACATTCTCTGTTACTATATACATTAATATAATTTCAGTTGTTCACTTTGAACAAAAGACTAGTTCAATATATTAATAAGATATACTATCGACTGGGTTTGGCGCAATATGAAATTCTCAGCATGGAATATTTCAATAAGTTTTTTTATAAAACAATTAGTGATTGCTATTTGAATGTGTTGGACACTGATGGACATCTTATTAATTTTTATCTTTTTTTGTAGAAGATTATCAGCCACCATGATGTCTGGGATAATAATTTTCTACCCCTTGTTATGAGATAGCTTTTATACTTTAAATATACTTGTCTGAACAATTAATGTAAGAAGAATATAACTTTTGTTCAGATTGAAACTAGCGTCCTCGGTTCGATTCTTTCATGGAGCGGTAGGGAGCGCACACTACTGACGAACCCCATCCATATCCTGGAGGTTTCTAATGATAATCTAACATTGATCGATTCGTGGTAAGTAGAAGAATAAAACAGTGGAAAGCGACCAGTCCGTTTTCCAGTATTGGGTGTTTTATCTTTTAACATAAACTATAAGGAAATGATTACTATACAAGAGAATCATTCAGTTTTGCAGAGAAGATCAAAAATAGATTAATGAGACAACTCTTAAGAACTGCATATTTTCGCAGATTTCGACAAACAGATAACTACAGCAAGTTTTTAAACTACAATAAAATGTTTAGTTAATCTGTTCGGATTTGTGCCTATCAAAAAATCACTATATAATTCATCAGGTATCATAAACATACTGATTTTTTCGTAAATTTATACTAAGAAATAAGTGATAATTGTCATCACATGGTAGTCGAGTTTGTTGAATTCGGTCCTGGGTTCGATTCTTGCATGCAGGGGTAGCGGATGAACATTGCTGATGAGTTTCACACTATAATGAAACCGCCATTTATTACTTCCAGGTTTCTAATGCTGGTCTTAGATTGATCAATTTATGATCGGCAGAAGAGTCTACTTTTTCCGTCTACATATGTCAATACCAATAGCGCGTTTCCATATTCGGAAGTGAATATAAAAATTCTCACATAGAACACAACAAAAAAAGTATTAATCATGATTCGTGGTTTTATTTGTTTTATTTCTATTACAAACAGTATCTGCGCTATCAAACATTTTTTGGTGTATTCAAATCACTGATAATAATAATAATATTGATATCCAACTTTTGATTGGTCCATTACTTTCAACCAATCAAATAATTCCTAACTTCATTATTTTCTTAGTTGTTGTTAATATGCTTTATTTAACTGATTTTCTTATATATTTTAGTCCAAAATAATCTTTTTTTTCCCTATGATTCCGGACTAAAAAATATCGAGAAATTAAGAATTAGACAAAAAAAATATTGTTTGGAATGCTACATAATTTAAATCAGATCAAGATATAATTACTTGATCTCTTCCTTGCATAGTCAATTCATTTAGTTAGAAATATGAAGTGGATATATTATGTAATCAGTTTATTTATAAACCACTTGATCTGTATTAACAGTACAAAATATCATGAAGTAATTGGAAAAAATTCAGATGAATTGATTAACAGTCAAGAAGATAATGATCAGAAACATCAAACCGATCAAGTCACTACATTGATTGAACCTGTCATGACAGATGAACAACGATTATTATCGAAAATATTAAATGGTTATGATACAGCTTCTAGACCGACATTTAATGCGTCAAAAAGTGTACAAGTTGGATTTCAATTTACATTGATACAAATTAGTCAGTTGGTAAGTTTATTTTATACAAAATAAAATAGAATTATGGTGACATATATGATAATAGAGTAGTTTTTTATTCAATGTACTCGGTAGGTGGTCATTTTAAAAAGATTTTTAAACATAATTTAAGAGTACAACACAACATACCCCAAAAAATCACTCTTGATGGATATGCCTTGGAGGAAACAAAAACTTTTACACGTTTGAGTAGCATCATTGATGAGCAAGGAGGATCTGATGCACATATAAAGGCGCGGATCGGCAAAGCAAGGAGTGAATTTCTACATTTGAACAACATCCGGAACTCAAAAAAACTGTCAGCAAACACCAGAATTATAACTCCGAGTGACGTACATAATATTCTAATTGACCGATGTGTCAAAGAATTCTATGTTTAATAGAATAAGTATTTTTTTTCTTTACTTACAAATTAAAGCCGTATTATTTAAATAAATGGTCTTTGTTTCAAAAAGATATAAATCGTATGCGAGAAAACCTATTTTTATTTTAGAATTAATAAATCTTTGAGTGAAAACCGAAAATGTTAGTTTACAATGAGCAGTGAGTGATACCATGTATGTCAAGTCCGTCTTAGTACTGACTGAATTCTAGTGTTTAAGTCGCAATATGTCTACTCACCTAGGTCACCTGTCATCGTGTGCCGTATATGTGTAGATGAAAGATGGCCATATAGGTTAGTCAACAGGAAATTGTGCTTGACCTAGGTTGATTGTTTTTTGGCTCAGTGGTAACGTCTCTAACTATGAAGCTGCGAAAAAGTGAATCCGTCACTTCAATCAAGATTACAGGTACAGTCTTCTGAAAATTACAAAACAACACGGAACCCGAGTCATGTGGGGTTGTCCATCGACTACCTCTAACCAATGAAATGCAAAGTTGTTAGCCTTTGTTCATCACTGAAACTATAAAAGCAGTTAACATATGCGGGCAAAATTGTCTTAAATTTTTGAGTATATCGCATTTAATATAAAAAAATTTATTTTTAATTCTCCAAGTCAGTTTTTGGCAAGATTTTTCGTAATATCCACCTTCACTCTACTCATGAACACTAAGAAACTAATGAAAGATCATCTATTTAAAAATATTTACTTTACTGGACTCATTTACTGTTCAGTTGTATATGTACGAGCAGAACACTTAATTCGTTTATCAGTTTGTCGGAACAATGAGAAGACGTGATTGATCTGGTCATACATATGAATATTAATAAAAGGTCAATCAAATAAAAGTTCAAATAGACATAAGGTGGTAAATGTCAATGAAGGAGAGAGTTTTGGAGGTTTGTGTTTTTACACATCATCAATCAATCATTGATAGAGCACCATTAGAAACCTGGAAGCACTGGAAGGCCGTTTCGTCCTGGTATAGGACCCATAAGAAGTGCGCATCAACAACTCCTGCTCCTCACAGGATTCGAACCCGGGACCTTCGGTATTGTGCGTAAATGCCTAATACAGATAGAATAAGAAAGGGTAGGAAATAGTTGCATCAACCTCGGCCGTAAAATAGCTTAAAGATTATCATGATAAATTCAAGATTATAATTATTAAATAATTATTTATTTAATTATTCATTACTTAGTAAATAATTATTATTTAATCGACCTTTTAACGATTCCATATAAAATGGTTTGACAAGTATATGGGTGACCAGATTGTTCGAAATTTATAGTGTAAATACATAAGATTTTCCAAATCAATTAAGTCTTCTCATTATTCTAACGAAATGTCTAAGATGGACCAATTACTTCTAAAAAATCTATGTTGATATCATCGTAGTGTTGTATTTTCCCTGCGTTTGAATTCATATGAGTGGCTAAAGTTCGTGATTAGCTGTTTGTTCGTTTTGTCTACAATGAGAACATTTTGATTAACAGGTTTGATGAAGAATTTACAACTCGGATAAAACAACTATTCAGAGTATGCTAATTTTGAATAGATTTTCGACGAATTACAATCTATGGCATGTATTAGAAAACATTCAAAGTCATTAGTCAACGAAATAAGCAGCAGAAATAGACTACTTGAATTGTTCAACACATATTTAGTCATTTTTACCAATGTTTCATAAAATCACAAAGATATGATATGAAGGATGTCTTCCAAAAAATTGTTTAGACGTAAATTTAACAATGAATTTTTCAAAAAGAATGATCTGACTAAAATTGCCTGCATTAGATCGAACTGTATTAAAAAAAAGATGAGAGTATTTTCAATATACCGTAAAATTTACTTATTGGCTCGCCTACTCATAAATGATTAAAATCGATATTGAAAGAAAGTGCCTGAAGGTAAATTCTTATAAATCTTGCATTCATGATAATTCGTTTGAACATTATGACTCTTTGAATCGCTCTCGTTTATTTTTCAGAAAATCTTGAATCGATCAATGATAGACAATTATTAAAAAAACTGGAAGCATTAGACAACCGTTTCGATGAGGTATGGTACTCATTAGCAGTGCGCATCCATGACTCTCGCAACTGTGGGGAAGCAAAGCTCAGCGAAGACAGTAGATGAGGTCGCGTAAGACCGTGGATTGATTGAAGCTAGACCTTAACAACGTCTGATACTGGCTGAGTGGTCCAGAAGTTAGTCATTCGTGCACAGGACCGAAGAACCTCGTTTCGAATACTACAAGCTGTTGGGGTCATGGATATGCACTGCCGAGTCCCACACTAAAAAAACGAAACGACCGTGTAGTACTTCCAGATTTTTGATGATGATCTAACATTAATCAATTCGTGATTTCAAAAAAAAGTAACTCAACAATCTCCACAGCCCCATAAATTAAATAGTTTCTTACTTAGTAAAGCATCAAATTACATAGAATAATCAATGTTCATAGACAGTTAGAAAGCACATAGAAAATTATTGTGCAAAAGTATTTTTCTTGGGTGTGGTGTTCTATTAAAGATCTTGTTTAAGTATGAATGAATATTCATTGAAACAAGTTGACAAACAACCAGATGGTTCACTGATCAATAAACAGAAGTTACTTAAAGTAAAAATAGTATTTTCTTGTGTTTCTTTCTAAACGGAAAAATTTTAAATTATTATCGTTATTTTTATTTATTTTATTACGTTTATTCAAGTATTCAATATCATAAATGAAAATCGATAATAATAATAATTACACTTTTTATCCGCTTAACAATATTGCAATTCATCTAAAATCGGTATATTAAATTTTGATAAATAAATAATTTATCCGCTTAAATTAAATAAATATTTTCTTGATAATCAATTAATAACGCAAAATAAATTATTTTTTTTTATTTCTGATACAATCTGGTTTTAATAAAAAGTTTTTTTTTCTTATCCCAAGCGTTTTAAATTGTCGGAAATTAATCTATTTATTTTCGATAATATAAAATATTGACAACTGTGACTGGTGTTTTGAAATCGGTTATCCTAGTATTATTGATCGAAAACATGAATTGCATTCGGTTCAGCAGAATTCTTATCACAGTCACATTTTCAATGTTCAATATTGAAATGAAGTAATCTACATTCAATGATTAATTGTAAAATAAATAAGTTGTCTTTCAAAAAATGTGTGACCTTTAATTTTTCCACTGAATAGTTGGTCTAATAATAATAATAATCTAATTTTTATAATTGAATTAAAGTTTGGTTACTGTTAATTATGACATGAAAGTTTTGTTCATCTTGTTACTGTAAGAATTAGTTGATGATAACACTTAAAGATAACATAAGAAAGAAGTTTATTTTAATGTAGCCAGATGAATTTGTTTGAATTATTGTTATGATTATTTTTTTAATTTCAAACATTTTGCTAATTTAAAAATTGAATTTAAAAAACGTAAGATAATTTATATACGTAAATGGCGCCAAAATTCTGTTAAAATGTTAGTCCAAATGTTTTGTAGATAATATAGATTTCGCTCTGAATAAACTGTAGGATTGTTAACTATACATTATAGTTTCTTTTAATTTCAAAATTATTCCTACATTATTATGGTTGAATTATACAAATAGATACATATACATTCAATAGTTATAAGCCATATCAGCTTTTAAACTCTCAAACGTTTTACTAGTAATGTAGTGAATGAGAACACAGGTGGGGCAACCGAATTGTAATTAGCGAAAATTACAGAGTTACTCAGTAAAATCGGAAAACCATATCGTAAATTGTTCATTTGCAAAAGATCAGTTCATCCTATGGAACTGGACTGTTCCTGTTGCCAAACATCAATCCATTGTCACTATTCATGCGTTTCATACAAATTCCGTTGTTTTCTAACTCTTCCTTTCTTGATCTTCCCCCCATATTATTCTACAAGACTTTACGTTGACACTCACGTTATATACTACTTATAAGTAGTTCGCACCACAGCACCACAGTAAATTGATTCCTTTTATAGACAGCTGTGGTATAGATGTGAAATTTCATTTAGTCAGAGTGATGGACATTTGTGTCAGGTCTTACTATATATATATATATTTCTGAAGAATAGATTGATACTTATGTTCATTAGTTACAATCATTGAATACAGTAAAAGTTGACGAAGATTCCATGTACCTAAATTATTGATCGCTCTGCCCGTCGGACTTCCGAAGGAACTTCTGAACAAGGTCTTTCTAACATCCGGGGCAGAGTTTAAGAGGTTTGAATTATTTTTGCCTGGTTTTTAGCGATTCCGTTTTCTTACAGGATGAGGTCGCTAACCCCACACACACACACACACAATCATCCTCCTTTATCCGAGCTTCAGACTGGTAGTAGGCCTAGATTGCGGAGTTTGCAGTTGACTTACCAACTTTTTTTAAAAATCAAATATTTGAGATAATTTTATGTAGACTATTATTAAATTGATTGAGTCTCATTTCCATTGGTAAATAAAAAAGTATTTTTCAACTGGATATCGACTTAATTTTTTCGTCTGTAAAACGAACTGCCTAATGTGTTATCGCCGGACTTTACATTATGTATTGGTATGTGTACAGTAATGTACGAAAAA